GGCAGCTGCAGCACACCATTTGTTAGACAATGGTATGTTTTCCCCCTCTGTGTCACTTTCTATATTGAATTAATTTATAGACCATTTTTCCACGCAAGGGAGAATACACAAAGTAAAGCATTAAATAGCTTTGTTCTTGGTGTTCATTTTATTAATTAAAAAATATTTTTATCCAATCCTTTCTAATAATGTCCTAGAGCAGCTGACAAAAATAATTAAAATACAATTTGGAAAGTAGAATACAGAACATACATTGAAAAAAGACCTAAAAACATCCAAAAAGGAAGCGAAGCATTAGTCAATAGCAAATACAAGATAAAAAGACCACATCTGTCGAAAGTGTGCTGAGCTCAGAAGCCTTATGAATGGTTAGGCAGGTGACAACATCCTTAATGTCAGCTACATATATATGTATGTATATGATTATATATGATTTAAGTGCTGCCCAGAGTCACCTTTACCAGTGAGATGGATAATATATAAATTAAATAAATAAATACATAAAAACTTCATTACTACAAGAAATCAGTCATCCTAGAGATAAATTTGGGGTCCATATACCGTTTCCAAAAACGTTTACCTGGATTTTGATTTTAAACTTCCAGATGGCAGTGAAGGCTTTGAGGGCGTTCAGGGTCTCAGTTTTAGTCTCTTTATCCTTATCATCCAGGAAAGAGGCCACTAATTTTATGTCATCATTGGTGCAACCATTTGCCTAGGAAGTAAGAAAGAAGCAATCACCTGGCTATGAACATCAGCCTTATCAACTGCCATATTTGAAATGCACCAAATATGTCATATTCACCATAACACCATCTGACCTGCACGATGTAAGATTTGATGGTTGAGATACCAAATCACAGGCCAAATATAGTCAGTGAAGTGGTAACTGTCAAGAGGGATGCAATACATCCAGTGGTGGGATTCAAATATGTGAACAACCGGTTCTCTGTGTGGATGCCGCTTCCGGAAGTCCATTCTAAGCCTGGGCAACAAAAAATTAGCTACCGGTTCTGCCGAAGTGGTGCGAACCTGCTGAATCCCACCACTGAATATATCTCTATTGACATTGATCCTGAAGAGCAATTCAGTTTCGCGAAGGGACAGCAGATTCTAGGTGCAGGGATAGCATAATCGGCATTTTACTGGAATAAATGCCAAACTTATCCCATGTCTTTATCAATTCCACCCACCAAAATGCACCCACCATATTCCCTATGGATATTCCTGTGTAGTCACTAAATGTATTTAATCACAAGCCCCATCAACTCTGCACTGGGTTGAGGTGAATTGTAGTAAAACATACTCTGAGAACTTTAATTTTGGCAAGATTCACATAGGATCAAGAATCACTGGGCAAGGCAATTGTAAGGTTTTTTTTTTTTTTAAATCTTACCACTAGAGCGGCTTTGGGGTTTTTGACTTTTATTTTTGAATGGGATTTGATCTCTAAACAAGGGGACAAGTGCTTAATTTACACTTAATGCCCCCAAGTTCAAAAAAGAACTGAGGAAATCTATTGATCTCCAAAAGACCTCTGTATTGTATTCACACAGATCCCAGGCTTATCCTGGGATGAAATATATCCTAACTACCTGCATTTAAGTGTACATTAGGACAAAGGTAGTCTCCCCTTCACATTCAAGGATTTCATGAATGATGCACAATGCAGTAAAAAGAACAGTAATTCCAATATCTGTTCCAGGTCCAGCCAGAGTCTGATTTTCCCAGAAGTCAGGAAGGAAATGTACAGGTAGGAAATGTTGGTTTTATCAGCTGTGATCTATTAACATACCTTTCAGTTTCTGCTGAAATCTACCTTAATTTTTCCAGTAAAAGCACCTTAAATATCTCCCAGTCAAACATTAGGCTGATCTCTGCAGAATCCCTCATCCCCCTTTCCAGAAAAAGCACAGCCTTGGAAACTGATCTCTAATGAAATGAGGAATGGTAATAATGGAACTTTAAGGCTGAAGATATTGGACTATAGACCTGTGCAGCTGCATAAGACTCAACCTTCCTCATCACATTCTACAGCATGTCCTGTAATGTAGGACGTTCACCTCAGATTCCTTCAAGTAGATACATTGAGTTATATTACGAAGAGTCATCCTTTTGGTGTCATCATCTAGGTTGGGACTGAGGGACATCAGAAGCCGTCTGAGCTCTCCTGGAACGCTTGCTTTTACAGATACAGTATAGAAAGATTCTGAAGATAGACCTAGAAAGCAATCATTCAAAAATGAAATTCCAACATGAAACTGAAGATGATTTAAAATTCCTGTGAAGACATTTTGCACTGGAACATCCTACATATACAGGTAGTCCTTGACTTACAATTCATTTAGTGACCATTTGAAGTTACAACAGCACTGAAAAAGTGACTTATGACCATTTTTCACACTTACAACCGTTGCAGCATCCCCATGATCACATGATCAAAATTCAGACACTTGGCAACTGACTCATATTTATGACTGTTGCGGTGTCCCGGGGTCTTGTGATTATCATTAAATTATGAAATTCATTCCTATACAATGTAGTAATAGCAATAGCACTAAGATTTATATACCACTTCACAGTGCTTTACAGCCCTCTCTAAGCGGTTTACAGAGTCAGCATATTGCGCCCAATAATCTGGGTCCTCATTTTACCAACCTCGGAAGGATGGAAGGCTGAGTCAACCTTGAGCCTGCTGAGATTCGAACTACTGAACTGCTGACAGTCAGCAGAAATAGTCTGCAGTACTGCATTATAACCACTGAACCACCATGGCTCATAACACCAAGTAGGATGATTCTTAAAAGAATTAGACAAGGTTATGGAGAAAAAGCTCACTAATGGCTTATGTATAATATCCACCATCAGAGATACTAAATCTCACTGTGAATTGCTGAGAAACATCAGCAGGAATCATAGAATCCTATGGCTGGAAGGGACCCAGGAGGTCTTCTAGTCAAAGCCCCTGCCCAAAGCAGAAGACCTTATTGTACCTTGGACAAATAGCTGTCCAATATTTTCTTGAAGATCTCCAGCAATGGAGTATCCACAACTCTGGGAGGCAAACTGTTCCATTGATTAATTATTCTTACTGTCAGGAAATTTCTCTTTAGCTCTAGATTGGATCTCTCTGTAACTAGCCTCCACCCATTCCTTATTGTCCTGCCCTCAGGTGCTTTGGAGGATACGTTGACCTCCTCCTGACTGTGACTGCCCCCCCGCCAAGTACTGGAAGACAGCTTTCATGTCAACCCTAATCCTTCTCTTTATTAGACTAGACATACCTAATTCTCTTAACTGTTCATCATACAGTTTAGCCTCTAGTTCCCTTATCATTTCTGTGCTCTTTGCACTTTCTAGGGTCTCAGCATCTTTTGTGTCATTGATATCAAATCTCCCTCACCTCCTCACCTCTACTTGCAACTGTGTCTCCTTCTCATATAGTGTCCTTGTATGGTGCATACTGGGTTGCACTTGGGACAAAATGCTTGAGTAGACAGGTCATTAGTTTTACACCTCAGTAGGTGATACCTTCTAGCCAATCTTGGCTGTTTTGAAAATCAAGCAAAGTTGGTCTTGTTTACTACTTGGATCCAAGGCCACCTTGGAATTCAGAAGAATTGGTTAAAGTGAGAAATTAAAAAAAACACATTATGGAAGAAGGAAATGTTTGGATGGCTGTCACAATCAGCAGCCTAGCTGGACTCAAGGGGTCTTTGTAAAGCAGATACAATTATTTTGCTAGCAGGGATAAATTGTGGCAACAATAAAATGACAGTGATTCTCTGATAGCATATAATTGGTTTAAACTTTTTGACATTCCTACTCAGCCCAACATATCTTGTACTTCCCTTTCTCCACCTCACTTGGTCCTACAGCTGCCACATGCTTCAACTCTTTTCCCCAGTGACCCTTGGCAACAAATAAGATACACTTAGCAAAACCCTCTTCTGCGTTTCCAGTTCTCTTTTTCTTTCCCCTTATTTTATTTTAGTTCAACAATCAAGATGACTCATCGGTGATAAAGCAAACATGACAGCCATAGTGTTCCAGGAAGAATCAGAAGAGGTAAGTGGGAAGGGGAAAGTTGTCAATTCAGAAGCACAGAGCCTGACAGCAGGGTGGTCTGTTGCAAATAAGAGTCAGCACTGGAAAGAACAAACAGAAAGAACATGAGAAGCGGTTGAAAACATCCACTGCAGATGGGAATATCAACCTATTAAGATGTTTTTTTTATTTCCACTACCTTCATAAACCCAAACTGCTGGATTGGCCTTATAATTTGGCATCAACACCTAATAATTCTTCCTACTTCCAGACTGAGGAGTTGAGAAAGATACCTCAGAAATGGAAGTTCTCCCCTGCCTATTTTCTGTTGTCATAATGAGATAGGCATTCATATTCTCAACTCTCCCCTGCCTGAAGCTGAATGGAAGATTTTTGGATCGGGGAAATCCTACCTATTTTTTGCTGTTAGGAATACAAACATTCCCCTCCTTCTCTAGGGTATCAGGGAGAGAAGAGATTTTGTCAATCCCAGTCAAAATACAGATGGCAGTGGGAACTGCCCTTGCAATTCCTCATGCCCAGGGAAAAGAGGGGAGATATCTTAGGATCCAAGGGAAGGAGAAACTAGTGAGATGATATGAAGGTAAGAGCTTACAAGATTAAAATCAAAGAGCTGGAGAGTAATTGGTCCATTTAAAGAGTAATATTCAGGGGTGAGGTATTTGTCACTATGTGAAAAGATCGGCTCTCAGTCCATTACAAAATAAAGGTAGGAAAATGAGACAGAAGATTTAAATATACAGGACTTCAATCCTGAAGTTTCCATTAGGACTTCTCTAGTATCTGTGTCCATGAATCTCCGACTGTGAGACTTCTCATTTGGATATCAGTCTCCATGAAGCTTGGCAGGGAGGAAGAGAAAGAGAGCAACAACAACAACATATATTGTGAGCATGTTCAACCCTTATTTCATTTAACTCACTGGCTAAGTTCATTGAATCGGGGCTGTAGGGGGGGCTTCTGAAAATTGCTAGGAGAGCCTTCGACACCAAATAGATGGCTGTAGCTCCAGTAGCTGCAGTTACCATGTTGTTAGTAGTTATCAGCTCATTGTACTTCATATTGCTTTAAACTTCCAGGAAATCTGATGGAACCCTGCCCTGACTACAGGCCAACCCATCCTTTACCTGTGACAATACTGCACCTCACATGGTTTGTGATGTCACCTGTGTCCTTCATGACAACTCTGGCACATCATCATCATCATAAGGGTTAGGCCTCTGAATCTTCTCTCCTCCTTCTCCTGATATCATGAAAATACTCTGAGATCTTGAGGGATAATTTCTTGGCATTGTATTTGGAGTGAAAAGATGTTAAGGGGAATAATTAGTCAGTAACAGAAGACAGGCTTTGCACACAGCAGGTCGGCTAGCTCAATCTCTAGCATTTTTCTACCTATAGAGGGAGTGGGGAGCAAGCAAGATAAAAAAGACCCCTCTTGTGTGTGTTACAGTATTTTGGAAAACCACTGTGAACCAGAGAAAATCAGCCCTCTCCAAATTGATGTGCTGTAACTACTAGAAGATCCAACTAGAAACCCCTACCCCCATACGAACATAATTTTCTTTGGGGATATGAAATATCCTCTTTCCACAAGTACTTTGTTGAAGAAGAATTTTAATGTTCAAAGTGTAGATGTTTTGAATCCACATTTTAGCTTTTAGCTTTGTTTCCTTCTCCCTGCTGCTCAGTTGTTTATCTTATAAATATTGAGCTAAAGTGTTATTATTTTGGAAGAGATTATTATTCCTTTAATTGTTTTACTATTTGTAAGCCAGATGAAGTTGTTTTTGTAGAAGTATAACTGCCATCAGTAAATCAATAATGAATTGCCCATTCTGGTGGATTTTATATATGGAATGTATATCAGGGGTAAAGGGATGAAATCTTTTCAGGCAGCAAAATATTTTGACTACCCTTAGACTTTAACTGTATGTGTTTCCATAACAAAGAACAAAATATAGCTACTGGATATAACATTTACTTTTTCAGAAATGAATTTAATGCGGCATTTAAACACATGCACACGCAAATTTGTTTAGTCAGAAGTAAATCCCACTATGACACATTGCCTAGTAGATGAGAGTACGGCACCCCATATTGTTGTAATTCTGCTTCATTGTTCAGGCAGGGATGGATACATTTGCTGTGTTTTTAGGTCTCTGAAGACCATTTGTCAGACTCCAGAAGAGGGCAGCAAAACTCCTGAGTTGAGTGGCAGCCCCTCTACTCCCAGGAAGCAGCGTTTCTAGGCTGTATCCCAATGAATCCGAAAGAAAAAGCTGCAGATGAAAGAAGCCGGTTCTTTGGAACTTGACCTTTGTCTCCTTTGAGGTTCTTTTTTTTCAGCCTCATATCCAGCTTTCGTGATCTCAGATGGAGATCATGACACAAGATGACAATTCTATCTCTCTAGTCTGAGAACTCTAATAAGAAAAGTATAGTTCACTCACAAAACTCAAAATGATTGCAATAATTATTCACACTGGCTGACTGGGATTACAACCTAGCTCCTTAGGGCACCAAAAAGCACTTCCAGATGATCAGGTTTTCCCGTCTCTGAATTCTTCTGAATGCAGTTCAAACCACACCTGAGAATGATTCAGACCAGGGGTAGGGAACCTTGGCTCTTTTATGACTTGTGGACTTCAACTCCCAGAATTCCCGAGTTAGCATGGCTAGTTCAGGAATTCTGGGTATTGAAGTCCATAAGTTATAAAAGAGCCAAGGTTCCCCTACCCCTGATCCAGACTGCCTTGACAATTTTCAGAATCATTTGGACAACAGGATGCTATAACCATAGGATTGTTTCTATGTTTGAAAGTTTGTAGAGATCTTTCAACCCGCCAACCAATCAGAGCTTGCTATTTCTTGCTAGTACTTGAGAACAGACCATTGTCAACAGTGGTGGGATTCAAATATGTGAACAACCGGTTCTCTGTGTGGATGTCGCTTCCGGAAGTCCATTCTGGGCCTGGACAACAAAAGATTAGCTACCGGTTCTGCCGAAGTGGTGCAAACCGGCTGAATCCCACCACTGATTGTCAGGTAGTTGGTACTCACTGCTGGCCAGCTACTGAGTGCCTTATCCTCTCTGTTCATGTCTCTGTTAAACACCCATCTTTCCTTCTTCCACAACAATAAAGGATTTGTTTTTATTATACATTTCCCACTCAACAAGATTTACCTAATCATACAATGGTAAGATTTACAGGGAATAAAATATAGTATGTTTCAAGAATCCTTTGAATAAGAACACAGACAGTCCCTGTAAGCACAAGGCAGTGGCATTTGCTGTTTCTGAAGCCTTTTCACACCCACAGCTATGCCACTGACCAAGGCTATAACCAAACTGCTCATGATTGCAAGCCCCAATGACATCATCATGTGATTAGCAAGGGTCTCGCATGCGTTCTAGGGTGGTGCTTCAGTCTGGCAGACCTCTTAGAGATGTGGATCAATACAGAATGTAAACATTTGGCAGATAGAATCAGCTCTGCTATAAGGTCCTATTCCTAAAATGAACCCCTTGTTCATATAGTCGTCCTTTGCCTGTTGCACACTGAAGTAGATTGCAGTGAATACATGAACCAATTAACCCATGAGAGGGAGCTGAACAGCAATTCTGGTGGGACTTCAGCATTTACAAAAGTATACAATGGTTTGGGAAGAGTGTCCTAAGGCAGGAATCCTAAGCAAATTCTACTAAAGATGTGTTTGTTTCCAGGAAATATGGTGAAAGACAAGGAGAAAATTAGGGGACAGGGGAAGATCAGCATCAATGTTGTGATGTAGCACTTAAGGTGTTGGCTTAAAACAAGGGGAGGGGAGAATACAGGTTCGAGTTCACTTTCAGCCATGGAAGCTCCCTAGGTCAGTGGTGGCGAACCTATGGCACGGGTGCCAGAGGGGGCACTCAGAGCCCTCTTTGTGGGCACGCGCGCCGTCGCCCCAGTCCTAGACCTTCAGCTGGGTTTTATAAAACTTTTTCATTTTAGGCCTCCGCCGCCGTGTGCAAAAAAAAAAAAAAGGTTCAATCAGTCAATTTCAACTTCTCACAGGGAAAAAAAAAGATCTTGCAAAGTTGGAATTGATTGATTGAACTTTTTAGTCCCACCCAGTCTGCCGTTACCACCGCAGCCACGCCCACCCAATGGGCCACGCCCACCCAATGGGCCATGCCCACCCGGCACTCGACGATGCATAAGTGGGTTTTGGGTTGCAGTTTGGGCACTCGGTCTCTAAAAGGTTCGCCATCACTGCCCTAGGTGATGTTGGGCCAGTCATTTTCACTTAGCCTATTTTATTACAAGGTTGCCATGGGGGGGGGGGAGATGGAGAAGGGAGTACATTATATAATATACAAGCTTGAGCCCCTGGAGACAGGGAGGGATGTAAGTCTAAGAAATAATACATACAATAATAAAATTCTCCTGCAAGTGCCACTTGTGAGACGGTGATTTCACTAGCAGACACAGGCATGTAGTTTTTCAGCATCTAATGATATACAAATGATATTTGCTGACAAGACTCCATTTTAGTAGTCCCTAGGATCTCACCAGCAGCTTAAGAAAAACAAGTAGAGGCTTTTACAAGACAAGTTGTCAAATGTTTCCAGAGATACCGATTTGTATATGTGTCACTGCCATCACGCATAAAAAAATGGACACACAGGCACACATGTATATATAAGGGAAGGAGAATTGTAGGAATGTTATGGTCAACACATTGGGCTTTCACTTTCTCCATAACTTAAAAGAAAAACAAATTTGCCCGTGGGAACAATTGCATCTATGTACTGGCTCTGAATGTGGATGCAAATAGCTTTATGCTGGATTGAAGAACTGATGTGATTCAGGCCGTGCAAAACAACTCTATAACCTATGCAAACAACTCTGTGACCTACTGTATGCAACTTGACCCTTCCTAACCTAGAACATCTTATTCGGGATAAAAATAACTCCAGCCCATAAAATTCTGCTTGCACATACTTTTAGCTCCCCAAATTACACATCAGCTACTATTCATTGTTCACTGTCCACTGTCACATTATCACTGCATGCTCCTTATTAAACAGTCTTCTGCTTGGTAACACCTCTGAATAATTTTT